AGAGAGAGAGAGAGAATCCATAGTATATCTTTTTATTTCAAATCCCTTTTGTTATTGGTAATGGGCATTGAATTTACAAGTTCTTATAATGTTTTTTCTTTTTTTTTGGGTGGATTGAAACTATCGGGCCAAGTTTCAGGTCAGGTCAAGGGGACCCAAACAGTAACATTTCAAGTACAGGTCGGGTCTCGGGTCCTAATCCATATCCCGGATATGGGTTTGGGGAACGTTGGACCTATCGGGTATGGGTCCATCTAGCGGTATTTTGGGTCCGAGTCCAGGTCCAGCCAGACCCGACCCGTTCCCGTCCTGTGCCACCCCTAAGAACATGAGGGGTAGAAAAGGTTAAGAGAAGAGACAGAAAGAGAGAGAGAGAGAGGGAAAGAAAGCCAAAAGAGATTCGATAAAGGAAACAAAGGTACTAAATTAAAAATCCTCTTCTTTCTTTCACCCTTCTTTTTATTTTTTCCTCATTTTTTTCTCTTTCTTTCCTTTTTTTTATTTTCTTTTTGTTCCTTTTTTTACCACGTTTCCTGCTCTCATTCAATTTTAATTTTTTTTTGAGAGGGGGGGCAAGGGAGGGGGAGAGGAGAGAGAAATAGAGGCTTAAAGCAAGGGAGGTGCACCTAACAAATTGTGAGCATCTTTTTTTATTTTTTTGGGTGGGGAGGGGCAGAGGAGAGAGAAATAGCGGCTTAAAGCAGGGGAGGTGCACCAGACAAATTGTGACCACCTTCTTTGGCCAGTCTGTCTACTTCACAATTGGCTTCACGAGGAATGTGATTGAAGGATATTTGAGGGAAGGAGCTGCATAGCAAAAGAATGTACTCAAAGATGTGGTATAGGCGCCACGGGGGCTGAGATGTTTGTGTGGCCCAAGAACCTGTGCTGCTGGAGTCTAATTCAACGATGAGACCCTCGGGTTGTGATTGAAGGAGCTGGATTTGTTTCAGAGCTTTCCTTAGGACCAAGGCATCTACTGTAGTGGAAAATGTGATTCCAATATACCCTGAGAAAGAGAGGATAATGCCTTCTGAGTTTGCCATTGTGCATCAGTATCTCGAGGGACCAAGGCTACCTAATGTGTTCAACTTCAAGTGGCCTAGCGGTGGGGGGTTCAGTTTACTCGAATTGAAAAACTCTCAATTTGATCATCTCGACTTCAAGATGTATGGACATGAGAAAAAATAGATCTCAACTCTGGGAAACACCATTCTCTAAAGTCTCAAACATAAAATCATCTCACATACTTCGGAGAAATAGAGATTAGAAGTTGGATACTTAAACACCGAAACATTTGTAGCATCATAAAAAGCTTTCAAACAACTACAAATTTCTCTTGTTCTCTGCCAATCAGCCTCAGATGGAACCAAAGTGGACATTGATTCCCATTGAGCAAAGTAATAAAATATCTCTTTTAGCTCTAAGGCAACCTCTAGCATCTTTATATGTTGAGTTTCATCGAGTTGCAACATTAGGGGCCAGTTTGGATGTCAAATAAAAAAACCTTCACATTAAAAAAATATCATAAGTTTGTTAAACATTGCCATCTTTTTTTATCATTATGCTAGACTGTTTGGATGGAGTTCACACACTAAAAACAAAGTCACATTTTACCCTTCCAAAATTCTCTTGCCAATCCAAAAGATTTTCATGTATCTCTCACAGCAGTAAACAATTTGCGTCCATACAATAAGCAAACTTGCAACCCGAGCTTCTCCTTATTCATGAAGAGAAGGGGTTTCCCATGGGTGTAGTATGAGAGAAAAGGCTCGCCTTTTTTAGAGAGAGAAAGGGCCTCGGCCTTACAAAAACGCCATCTAGGGCCGCCATGGATGGGGCTTGAGCTTCTTTGGTTTTTTACAACCCGAGCTTCTCCTTATTCATGAAGAGAAAAGACTTGCCTTTTGTAAGGGCCTTGGCTTTATAAAGACGCCACCTAGGGCTGCCATGGATGGGGCTTGAGCTTCTTTGGTT